AATCACTTCCATAGAGGGTTTCTGGGAGTTGGTCATGACTGAGGTGGCCAGGGTTCTTTGCAATGAGTTGGCAGTGGACACAGTGGCTGCAGGAAAGATGCTAGCCCGATTCACTTCCACAGAGGGCTTCTGGGAGTTGGCTGTGACCTGGGTGGCTAGGGTTCTTTGAAATGAGCTGGTAGTAGACACAGTGATTGGAGGAAGCATGCTAACTTGAATCACTTCCACAGAGGGTTTCTGCGAGTTGGTTTTGACCTGGGTGGGCAGGGTTCTTTGTGATGAGCTGGTAGTTAACAGGGTGGCTGGAGGAAGACTGCTAACTCGAATCACTTCTGCAGAGGATTTCTGGGAGTTGGCCATGACCGGGGTGGCCAGAGTTCTTTGTGATGAGCTGGTAGTTGACAGGGTGGCTGGAGGAAGCATGTTAATTTGTTTCACTTCCACAGAGGATTTCTGGGAGTTGGCCATGACTGGGGTGGCCAGGGTTCTTTGTGATGAGGTGGTAGTTAATAAGGTGGCTGGAGGAAGCATGGTAACTCGAACCACTTCCATAGAGGATTTCTGGGAGTTGGCTATTACTGGGGTGGCCAGGGCTCTTTGTGATGAGCTGGTAGTTGACAGGGTAGCTGCAGGAAGCGTGCTAATTGGAATCAGTTCTGCAGAGGATTTCTGGGAGTTGGCCATGACGTGGGTGGCCAGGGTTCTTTTGGTTGAGCTGGTGGTGGACCTAGTGGCTGGAGGAAGCGTGCTAACTCGTATGACTTCCACAGAGGATTTCTGGGAGTTGTTCATGACCGGGGTGGCCAGGATTCTTTGTGATGAGCTGGCAGTTGACAGGGTAGCTGCAGGAAGCATGCTAATTTGAATCAGTTCCGCAGAGGATTTCTGGGATTTGGCCATGACCTGGGTGGCCAGGGTTCTTTTGGTTGAGCTGGTGGTGGACCCAGTGGCTGGAGGAAGCGTGCTAACTCGTATGACTTCCACAGAGGATTTCTGAGAGTTGTTCATGACCGGGGTGGCCAGGATTCTTTGTGATGAGCTGGTGGTGGACACAGTGGCTGCAGGAAGTGTGCTAACTCTATTCACTTCCACAGAGGGTTTCTGGGAGTTGGCCACGACTGGGGTGGCCAGGGCTCTTTGTGATGCGCTGGTAGTTGACAAAGTGGCTG